GCTGAAGGGCTGGGGTCAGACGTGAGCAGCACTCCTGGAACACCCACTGCTGTGGCATCCCTCCAATGTGCCTGTTCTGAACAAGGGTCAGGATAAAATTAATTTAGGAAGTTGCAGCATCAGTGTAAGGACAGCAGTATGAACTCGTAATCACTCCCAGACCAAGAGACATATCCAATATACTGAGGTTTTGGCTTATCTTTTCTTTAATGTAAAAAGATCTTCATATGACTATCAGACTAATTATTGCACAGGTGAGGGGCATTTAAATACATTTAACATCACAAGGCTGGTCAGTGTTCACACCATGCTGTCACCTCACAATTTGAAATAAAGATTAGCAGAGCTCTAAGCTTTTTTCCGAGATAACTAGAAAACTTTTCTTCTTCCTTGTTTTTCCTGCCCTGTCAAGAAACTTCAACTCCATTCAGGGCTCGACTCTACAACATGAATTGCAGTATATCAATTAGTTATCAGATTGTATCTTATTCTTTATAAAACACCATCATTTCTAATACTAAAATATATAAAGAACTGCTTTCATCTAGCCTCAAAAAAGAAAACCCCTAAAGTGCTTTAAAGATACAACATGTCAAAGTTTTTTGCCTCTTTTGAAATTCTAGTAATTCAATGCTAAGGTCACCTCTTCAATGTGCTACAAGTGTCTGCTGATCTAAAAATATTTTTCTGTGGATATTAACTCCCTGATTTAGTGAACATCTTTATTGTTGAGCCTTCTGTTAGAGATGAAGGGAAACACCATTCTCCATTCTGCTACTGATAAGAAACAAGCTATAATACCCTACAAGACAAGAAAGTAAGCAAAGCTGCTTCTTGACTTCTGAATAGGAGGTGCTAGCCTATTTATTTAAATTCAAAAATTATAGTCAATGATTTATATACTAAAAGAACATAGATCCCAAACAATACCATTCTTGGTGAGTTATATTGTGCTGAGATTGTAGGTATTGTGTTCTTCCATGTTTCCCACAACAGATAGTCCATCTTCCAAACATTCCTCCAGTGAATGGAAATCAGTCTTACTTACTAATACTTCTCTTTATGTCAGAATAATGTGTTCCTGCTCATTGGCTTTGCTTCTTCTGAGCCTTTAATTTTGGTCCTTAAACACTATTTGCATGTTGCTTAAAAATCCCTGATCCCTCAAGTCATTGTAGAGCCTTGTCAGCTGTGCAGGAGCTAACTGTGTGGTTGCCTCAAAGGTGCTGCATAACTGAGAGCTTGCTTGTGCATCACATGGGAAAGCAATGACATGCCCCAAATTTAGATGGGAGCATTGGAGAGGAAATTCCATGTGGAAATACGGGAATTGTGAAGCAGACTTTGGCAATCAGCTTTTCTGAACCCTAACAGAACAGCAGATGCTCTGAGGACAAAGGAACTCCTAAACCATCAAAGTCAGAGTTTTTGTAAGAAGCAATTGTTTGGGATTTTCAGAGGCAGGAAAAAAATAAGGAGCAGCTGTCTCAAAAAACAGTCTTAAATCAAAATGGCTACAGCTTTGACGGGAACTGGCACTAAAGCCAGAGGTACTAAATGTTTGGGATGAAATGGAGGTAGATTTATAGAAATTACTGAAAAGGGGTAAAACAAAAAATAATGTATGTCCACCCACGCATCTTAAGAGGAATTTAAGTGTGAATGAATGAAAATTTGGGGGTTATTTTCTTCTGGGAACAGCCTCCTTAGTCATGGTCAGAAAAAATTGTTGAAGATGTGCTAAGGGTAGGAAATAATACAGAGGGAATGAAGCACTGTGGAAAAATACTGACTAATTGCTAAATTTGGCACAGATATATCTAGGAAGTTGATCCTGCTGAATGTTTGCTATATTGGGGGTATTGGTTACTTATCAGAGGTGTGTGTGCAGAATTATATTTACTGTAGCTTTCTTCGGCCAACTGTACCATTAGAAATGGATAATTTGTAATATTCTAAGACTGATGTTTTGCTCAGTGTAAGGTGACACTTTCCTTGCAGGATATCCAAACTAATCATACTGCCAACCAGCAGGCATCTTATTAGTCTGGCTCCTTGGCTTTTAAAATGTCCCATAATTCTGTGAAATATTTCTGGCGTTGAGATTCTATCAAACTGTATCTTACAAACAGTGTATCCAGTAATGCATATCAATTTCAATAACCAGAAACTGTGAAAAGCATCCATCTTCAGTAAGTAACAAGTATATGACCCATCTTTCTTTTTCCTCATTGAATACCTGATAATTAATGCTACCTTTCTGTCCCAGCTGCACTCTGTCTATGGAGGAAGACCCAAAATGAGCTGTTCCTCTTCTGGTGCCTATGATTAGAGACAGCCTTTGATTCTCAATGCTTCTTGACTTATTGGGTCTCTCCCTGTTACATCTCATCAGACATAAGTGATCCTTTGGAAGTTAGGGAGCTGGAAAATGAGTGGCACATGGTGGTGTGCTACAGACAATAGTAGATCCCAAGTACTTGTGCCCACAATGGGAAGCAGATGATAAATTTTTAAGCGTGCATGTGGATGTTTACTGACATCACAGGTGGTTTGTAAGGAGAAAAAGTACAAATTTATTAATACTGAAAACCACACTTCCTTTGTTTAGTTCTGAAAGAAACAATAATTCTAACAGCGGGGTATATTCTCCTTGGTACAATAGCATGATCTATAATGTTGGAGGTTATTTTCCCACTAGAAATGACAGTTGGCTGTACTCTGCAGAGATGGAACCGTGGGTAACAGACCAAGTCAGTCCTTAGCATGAACTTTTGTGACTCTCAAACAGGCAGCAGACTGGAAAAACTCTGCCTTTGTGGTGCTAACATAAAGGACTTTACATTCTGCCTCTTTGACATTTCCTTGGATATTGAAAGAGGAACAGTGCACACTTGGGAACACCCACTTGTAACAGAGTTGTAGATTTCAGCCTGGGTAGCAGTGACTAACCCAGAGGTGGAGGAACTGGGAGAGGAGGTAGCTCCATGTTTGGGAAGAGTAAGGATGGCTTCATCGATAGGAACCACCTGCTGCTTGCAGAGGGAGGCACAAGCTCCTCCCCAGCAAGGGTGCAAGTGCCATGTTTGTTTCCCAACCTGATCCTGATCCCAGGAGGTTTCTCACATGCACACAAAAAGGGTCAGCACCAGCAGGAATTACTGATAGCAGCCAGCAAGCCTGTTGCAGCATTTTTGAGAGAAAGAGGACATGAATTATGAAATTTGAGCTACTCCAGTCTAGGCCTCAGATTTGGGCCTTGTGGGCCTTCAAGCCTCTGATGCAGTTAGAAATTCAGAGCTTGTGGCGCAGATAGAAAATGTCTTAAGGTGTGATGGGGACCACTAGGTTGTTTAGGTGTGAATTAGTATAGGTTTTATAGTGTAAGGTGTAAGCCGTTTTAAGGAAAAGGTAAACAATGTTAGCCTACCAATCAGAGTGTCTTTGTTTTTGTAAACTATGTGGAAGCTTATATAAACTACCACCTTATCTCGAATAAAGGGAGAACACTTGATTAACCACATTGGTTTGAACCTGCGTTTGTCTTGTCCAGCTTTCCGTTTTTCTGAGATTCCCTGGCTTTACGAGCCCCATCAGCCCCTTGGTGTTTAAGGGTTTGGTCTTTAATCCCTGCAGTCGGAGGAAGCTTCAAAGTCAGACTTCTCACCTGCTGCCCTAACACATGGCCACCTCTGCAAGATGCGAGGTGCTGCTGTTCTCTCATCCAAGCTGATTGCTTCTGTTTTGTGTGGACCCCAAAAATCCCTTTAGAAAGCATTGGTGATAACTGCACAATGCCTGGGGGCTCCATTGATAGCTCTGTATGAGCAGGCATGGACAAGGAAAAAGCTCTGGTCATCCATGGAGTTTTATGGCCAAAATGAAGTTTACCAATGGAGTTAGGAGGCCGTGACGTTGGCTGAATGGATTTTGGCCATTCAGATTTTGGGGGATCACAGTTTTGGATGAATGTGCCTAACCTCTCCTCCAGCTCTTTTTCTACTACTAAAGTCCCTTACAGGAGCTAGTCATGCAATTTTTTCCATTCTCTGATTGAGTTATGGCAATTAGTAATATCATTACTGTAGGACAGAAGCTCCATGAAGAACTGAGACCTTTAATAATCAGGTTTTGTACAAATACAGAGCAAGAAGTGACAATCTAGATTTAACTCCTGGGACCAGGAATAAAGCTTTAAAAAAAGGTCTTTGGGGCTTTGAATCAACCCCTCAGGGAGAGAGAGCAGTTGAGGGAGAGCTTGCAAAAAAAAAAAAAAAAAAAAAAAAAAAAAAAAGTATTTGCGAATTTGTGAACTTGAAAATGTCACGCATTTTTTCTGTTGAAGCTATGCCTCATTGCTGTTGTTAACGTGTCACTCTAACACCTGCTGGCCCTGATTAAGATTCCTCTGGCATGGTATAATCACAGAGCACAATGTGGCCACAAAGAAATTACAGCTCATGATCTGCAACATATAAAGGGGAAATAATAATAGACTCAACCAGATTTATGCTGGGTTATCCATACATATGGCCTGTATGGATGCATTTGTGTCTTCATTTACTATTTTGATTTAGCTCTGTAAACATCGGTGCTCCCTCATAACTCTGAGCCTGGCCATTACAAGTTGGCTGCTCTTGTGGTGTCATTGAAGAAGATCTCAAATAGGGATTTGAAATGGGAGAAAATAACAGCTCAGACTTAGGATACTGTAAGCTGGGCTGGCTATGGGGTAAATTTACATTTAGATCGAGCCTCTTCACATCTTGTCTAAGTAATTGTAAACTCTCTTGTGCCTCAGCCCAAGAAAAGAATTTAAGCAGTCCTGCACTGCCAAAAACTGTCTCATGCTTTGTAAGATGTGTGATAGCTAATCTAAGTAGTCAGGCTTAGCATCTACTTTTCATAATTATTTGTGCAAATACAGCTCAGTTATCAAATGTCAGCATTAATCAGACAAAGGATATCAGTATTGCCAAAATAAACATGTTGTAAAAATGTTGTGTCTGATTATTTGTATTATTCAACCAACACCCAGATGTCCTATTATGTTAAGAGCTACACAAGCATATAAGAAACCATTCCACCAGGAGGGAGTGCATGACTAATTTACGATAAGAGAAAACAATTGAACATTACAGGCAAATAAAAAGAAAGAGAAGAGAAATAGTGGCTCATGGTAGTCTGTGACTGTGTTTTCCTATAAGACCCAATAATGAGTTTTAAGTAAAGGAAAAAAAATGTTTTGATATAAATAAATAAGTAATATGATACCAGTAATTCTTACCAGGCATTTGCCTAGCCCAGTGGAGATTTCTGTGGTATGTACTTAGCTTTCATATTAGGGCCTTATCCTCATTCATGCCATGCCTGTTTACACCATTCTCGTAGGGGTCTCCAGTAGGCATTGCACGACAGCAGAGGACAGAGGAACACAGCCAAAATCCTACAGCTGGCCTCATACCACACAAATCTGCCATCTGCACCCAGCCAGGCACATGCCCAGGGAGGGCTACAGGGGCTGCATTTCTTTGTTATTAAATGCCTTATACTGCCAGTACAGCATAAAGGGATCTTGATGTGACTGATCATGCGTCTCCCTCTAATGTGTTCTGCTTGCAACACGTTTTCAGTGCCACAGCCCGACTTTGTTTGAGCATTAATGCGAATAAATCACTTTATTAAGGTACCTGGTTGAACTGGTGCTGCTTGGGACAGCAAACATTACTGTATGTTTCAATGAGAAGAAGGTGCACAGAACACAAAGATACACAGTTTACAGAGGTATCAACTCTCCAGTCTCCTTCCCAAGCTGAGGTCACCCTGCCTTGTCATGGGCTTTTCATTATTCTCAGTCTCTATTCGTCAAGGGCACCTCCTCAGAAGTCAGGATGAGTTTTAGTCCTCTTTGCCTGCAGGAGCTTGTGGTTGGTGATGCACTGTGAAACAAAGGACAGTTTTAAAACTAAAACTTTAGCAATTTAAACAAAGTATTTAGTGGGGGAGAAGAAGATAAGTAAGATAGAAAAAAATATATTTATTCATGTTTTTGCAATGTAAAATTTACAAGATAACCACAGGAAACTGGGCTCTGTCAGGCACTTAAGTGTCTCAGACTAATTCTCCCAGACAATTCCCAGCCTTTTGTGAATGTACTCCTTTTTTCACATCCCTAATTCTTTCCCCCTCCAGTGCAAAGAAGCCTGGCACTGTCCCTCAGCTATTGTTTGTAGAAAAGTGGCTTATCTTGAGCCATACTTTTCCTTTCATTTTCCTTTTGAATTGAACCATTCTGTTCATGGGGCAAAGTCAAAACAGGCTACTCATAAATTATCACAGAGCAGTTCCTCTTTCATCACAGACATAAACACTTTGCAAATCTAGTAGGTGAAACTGGAATTCCCATCTATTCTTGGAATTTAGAACCAAAACCAAGTGAGCGTGGTGACAGTAGTGCAAAACAACCTTTCTGATATCTCCCATGTAGGGCAACAGCTCTAATATTTAGTGTTTCCATAATAATTACTATTTCTCATTATGAAATGCAGCACTTTCCATCTCTTTCACTCTGTTTCACATTCTCATAAAGGAAAATTCCTTGAACTGCTTGGAAGTGTACTGACAAAAAAAATTCATAATTAAAAAAAACCCAAAAATATAACTAGGAGCAAAACACTGTAGGGAACACTGATAATATGTGGTGGCCTGATAGAAATGTCATTAAAATGTAACAGTAGTTTGTATTTTATAAGCCATTTTTCTAGATCAACTAAGCTACTTCATAGTACTTCTATAGAAGTGATAGACAGTGATTGTCTCACCCAAACAAGTAAATTACCAATGTTTTACCTGGAGGGAGAATAAGGGGACTTATACCTGTGAATGGGTTTGTTGTGTTTGACTCTCCTCAAAGTGTTTTCTATATTTTTTAAAGGACTTGGCCCCACGAAGTCCTGCCGGTAGCTGTAGTAGATGTACACACCGGCAGCATCCAGTGCCATCTTTGCCACAATAGGTACTTTGGTACTTTGCCGTGTGACCTGGAAGGCACATTTGGATGCGGGAACATAGCCATCTGGCAGCGAGCCCAACGGTGGAAACTAAAGAGCACTAACAGAAATGGAATTTTCAAGAGATCAAAAAAAAAAAAACAACCCACCCAACATAGCATGGCATCACCGCTGGGTGCCCCGGAGCAGAGCTTTCATCGCCTGCCCACTCGCGGAAGGACCACACCGCCCTGTCGAGGAGATTTGTCCTCCGGGGACGGGGAGGGACCTAGCCTCCCCCTCCGCTGCCGCTCCAAGCGCCGGCTTTCTCCCGGGGCTGGAGCCGTCCTGGCCCCCTGCCCCGCCGGCATCCCGCTCATCACCGCTCTCCCGGCTGGCGCTGCCCATGCCCGGGGCTCTGTCCTGGTGCTGCTCACAATTCCTAGAGACCTGTAAATACAGCTCTGATTTGGATGATACTTTTTTTTCACCTTGGCAGCCTTTACAAAGCAAGGACTACCTGTTGCATACTCATGCGGTAGCGCTATTCCGCAGGATAAATCGGTGTTCCCTTCGTTTACCGGGAGAAAGGAGCGGGGATGCCCGGGCGGTCCTGTCTCTTCCCTGGGCAGCGCGACCTGGCCCCAGCACCGGCCTGGCACTGCCAGAAACAGCTGCCCGCCTTGGCCACCCGCCCCGCGGTGCCTTTGCCCTCAGGCTCCAGCAGACCTTGGGGCTTTTGCCTTTAGGGGTAATGCCTTGAGCCTAGATGAGCGGGGGATCTGGAGCGCCGCAGGGTGCTGCCACCATCCCACCCCCCCCAAAACGTCCGGGACTGTCCTCCCCCGAGCGCGCTGCAGTCCCTGACATCCAGACGTGGATGATCCGCGCCACCCAAGGACTTGAGAAGCTAAGCACGCATTTACTTTCGTCTGACAAGATAAGGCAGCCACCGCGGCTACTGCAAGGTCCGCTGTGTCCCGGCGGAAGAATCGGAAACATCCCGGCTGGAGAGCCTCTGCTCTCCCCATTAAGGCTGTGCCCCTTTCCCACGCCCGAGCCTCTCCTCCCTTTCATTTACTCTCCGGGTGCTTTGCAAATGTAAGGGCTGCAATTTCATATCCTCGTACTCCAAAAAGACGTGTCCGTGCCTTTTGTAGTTCAGCCAGAGCCAGGACCTTGCTGATAACCTCGGATACTCGTCTCTGCCTCTAGGTGAACCTGTATCTGTCTTGAGCAGGGAGATAATGCGGTGGCTGTTGTTTTGTTGCTGCCAGTCCCTGGAGAGAGCGTTTCCATGAAGTCTTAGCTCGGGGATAAAAAATCCAAAACAACTAAAACGGGCAAGGCTATATAGCTCATGACTGAGAAATCAAAATTTCTCCCTAAATGAGGCTTTCTGATAGGAAGAGGCTGGCAGAGGCGTCCCTATAATAAAGCGTGAGAGGAAAGTAGTTTGCGGGGCGGGAGGAGAGCTGCCTGGCTGGTTGACAGAGGGGGCGGATCCTGCGCACGGGCGGGCAGCGCCGAGTCGGAGCGGCCCCGGCAGCCGCGGGGCTATTTCAGGAGCCGGGCGGAGGCGGCGGCTGGAGCCGGGGCAGTGATGGGGTTAGCGGCGCCGGTGGGCTGAGCGGGGGGCTTGCAAGTGGAGGCGAAGGCAACCGGGAAAACACGCCTTTGCCTCGGATTTGGGGGAAAAGGATCGGTTTTTTGGGCTGCATCACAACTTGAGCAGCATCAAGCTGAGCCAGGCGGAGAGGGGAGCGGGAGGGGAAGAAGGAGGAGGAGGAGGAGGAGGAGGAGGAGGAGACGGCTGCCGCCGGGGGATTTGGGCTCGATTTATTGAAACAAATCAGTGCTCGGGAGAGAGCGGCGAGGAGGAGGAGAAGGTGGGGGTGGGGGGGCAGGAAGAGGGGGATCGAGAAAGAAAAGTGTGAGGGCTGTGGCTGGGAGAAGCAGAAGTGATGAGAGAGCGATCAGGGAGGCTGGAGGAGGCTGCCCGTCCTGCCGCCGCGCCCCGCGGGGACCGCCGCTCCTGCCGCCGCCGGGCGCCCCCGCGGCCGCCGCTGCCGCCCCGCCGCCCCCGGCCCGCGCCATGGAGGCGCTGAACGGCCCCGGCCCGGGGCCCGGCGACGCGCTGCGGCCGCCGCCGCCTTCGCCCGGCCACCACCACCCGCACGCCGAGAAGAAGCGGCCGCACCGCGCCCCGTCGCCCGCCAGACCCTTCCTCAAGGACCTGCACGCCCGCGCCGCCGCCAAGCCTCCGCCCGCGCCCCCCAAGTCCCCCGGCCTCCCCGCCCGGGCACCCTCGTCGCCGCACCCGGGCGCCCACCAGCCCTCCGCGGGGCTCCTGGCGGCGCCGGGCCGCCTCTCCCGCCGCCCCGCCGCCCCGGGGGGCAAGGCGGCCGCCGCCGCCGTCACCGCCGTCGGCAGGGCGGGCGCCAAGGCCGCCCCCTGCGCCAAGCGGGCGGCCCGCGGTCCGGAGCCGGGGCCCGGCGGTCGGGGCGCGGGGCGGCAGCCCGGCGGGGAGGCGGCCCCGCCGCCCGGCAAGGGCAGGAAGGCGAAGCGGGGAGCCGCGGCGGGCAGCGGCCATGCGGCGGCGGCGCTGGCCCGCGTCGGCCACACGGACAGCAGCTCCGACCTCTCCGACTGCCCCTCCGAGCCGCTCTCCGACGAGCAGCGCCTGGCCCCGGCCGCCAGCAGCGACGCCGAGTCCGGCACCGGCTCCAGCGACCGCGAGCGGGAGCCGCCCGCCGCTCATCCCGCCGCTCATCCCGCCGCCGAGCAGCCCCGCGCCGGCCACGGCCCCGGCCCCGGCCCCGGCCCCGGGCGCGGAGCTGCGCCGGTCCCCGGCTTCCGCGGGGATGTGCTACCTGCGGCCACGGGCGGGGGGCGAGCCCCGAGCCGCGGGGAGCCGCCGCCGGCGGCCCCGGAGGAGCTGCAGCGGGAGGTGGAGGAGCTGCGCTCGGAGAACGAGTACCTCAAGGTGAGCATCGCCCGCGGAGCTCGGCCTCGGCGGGGAAGGGAAGGGCGGGAGGCGGCAGCGGTAGAAACGCGGCCCCCTCCTGCCCGGGGGATGCGGGGACCGCGCTTGGAAATAGGGGAAGAATATTCGCGCTGCCTGGAGTCACCTCCCATGGGACCCCCGCCCCCGCTGGACCAAATGCCAAATTTTACCCGCAGGAGAGAAATAGAGGCAGGGAGAACCAGCCGGGTGCCTCGGCCCCCTCCTCCCCCGCCCCCACGAAGCGGGACCGCGGCACGGCTTAAGGACACTTAAGGCACTTAAACGTATGGTCGCGGCTCCCTGCAAAGCCCGGTTTGTGAGCGCTGGATGAACGTCAGTCCGATGCAACATGTACCGTGCCAGTGTTGCGTTTGGTTGACGTGGTGGTAGCTCAGCAAACCCCGACTCTTTCTAAAAGCACTGCAAACATTCTACTGGTTAGCAGAACTTTGCTTTCCAGGAACTGATTTCCCAGTATCACCCTTTAGGAAAAGCCAAAGGAACAGGTTCCCTCATTTGATGTGGAAAGAATGACAGCATTATGTGCTCTGCTTATTGCGTTACTTTATCTCTGGAAAGTGAAGCTACTCGCTGTGAAGTACTAAGAGAACAACAAGAGCGGCAAGAAAAAAAGTGTCATTGCATCCTTGTACAGGTAGAAAAGTATATCAGTACAAATCCATCCTCGGAGAAACAGGAAAGCTAAATTCAGGTGATCTCTGAGCTGGGTTGACCTGTGGGAACCTTTAGCTGGACTTGTACTTACAATCTGATCTTTTGGCAGAGCAAAGAAGCTACATCCATAAAGATCTATAAATAAGATAAACTGAGATAATCCTGTAACCACAGCCACTGTTTGACTCTACCTCTGGTGAAAACAATCTTTGTTCCCTGATATTGGGAACAACACCCTGTTGTCAAGCAAAATAACCATATAAATCCATGTAGATCTGGCATTCTTTCTCAAATAAGAGCGGGAGTTTTATGTATAACCTTGGGAAAGAAGAGTGATAAAGATACAAGCTAGGCTTGTTAAGGGGTTTTGGCTAAGGTACACGAAACAATATTCAGCATAGCAAAAGGGTAACAGCAGGGGTGCTGCAAGGTTCTTTGCCAGGTCTGGTGCTGCTTAGTGAACTGGAAAAAGGAACAAGCAATGATACAGCAAAATTTTCAGATGACATTAAATGTTTCTAGCTTAAGTAAAGTCTAGCAAAGATCAGACAGAACTTAATAACGAAGTTAACCCCTGAGGAACGTGTGAAAAATGACGGCAGAGGATGGTAAATAAATCCTAATATGCAAAATCTTAAGTACTTGGAGGGAATAAGTATGCACTTTTCTGTTTAAATGTATTGTGTTAACTCAGGAGCGTAATGAGAAAAGTAGAAAGGAAAATCTGCAAAAATTGTTAGATTACAGTGGGAACTGAACAGAGACTAACTAAAAAAATCTGGCAATATTTTATAAAACTGTAGTTGTTACACAGCTCAGTGAGTGTACCTGAAATACTGTGGGCACTGCTGGTCATCTAGAAAAGGAAAATACAAAACCAGACCAATAAAAATTACTGGCTCATAGAAAAGCTTTTATAGCACTCATTGGATGGGAAACTCGAGTGTGGTAAGGATATGTAATAGTCTATAAAAAGATGAGCAGCACAGAGAAGCTTTATCACAAGCTTCTGTTTTATTTGACAGCCTAGAAGCAAGAGGAGATGTAATGAAATCAGAATTGATAATGGGAATCACTTAAGGAGTAGCTAACTGGCACTGCCATTAGAAATCATGAAGTCCAAGAGCATCTCTTTGCATTACAGGATTTGAACAAGTATATGAGTATTATATACTTAAACCCATTACAAAGTATGTGTCAAGCTCTCTTTCTTTATACTGAAAGTGATTTTTAACTATGGGAAACTGGCAAATAAAAAAAGAAAGAAAGAAAGAAGTGTGTTGGAATTGTCTAGGACAGACCCTTGTTAGTGTGTCCCACCTGAGGAGCCCTGTGATCATGGGACCTAGTTGGCAATGGCAAGTCTTAGGTGAAGAAATTTATTCTCTTCATTCCAAACTTTTCACCCTGTGCAACAATGCCTTCAGATCTTTCACCTTGATATCTTAATCATCTACAGCAGTTGTTTTCTCACACTTTTTTTGATTCAGATTGTGACTTTATCATGTTCAAAATATTCCTGAGTCTCGTAGGATAATAGAGACTGGTTTCTTCGGTGGGCATGTCCTGGTGCCTGGAAAGCCATGAACTAATACCATTGCCTCTTCTGAGGGAAATGAGTACATTTTCTGCTTTGCTTGGCCACCTTGGTGTGTGAGGTCTTAATTCTGCTCCATCTCTGAAAATGGTTGGATACAGCCCAGTGGTGCAAAAATTTTATCAGGAGAATTCCCAATTCTCATTTGCCTCTCCTAGGAAAACCTGTAAAAAAGTCTGCAAATTAAAACCACATCACTGTCTGAGTTGTTTACTTGTGGGTTTGTTCCATGTGTTTTTTACAATGCAGTTCTCTTGGTTGGCATTGGAGTGAGTTGTGTTTCTCCAGAGGGGGCTAAGGGAAAACAGGGATGCTGTCAACTGTAAATAGACAAATGATTAGATAAATCCCAGAAGAAACTGTTAATTTCCTGAGCATGGCCACAAGCCAAATTTTGTGGGTTTCACTCCTCCTTATCCCTCCCTGCAGCTGGAGTGCAGGCCTAAGTGCACATAATAAAGTCTTTTTCAGGGAATTTTATCTTTTATGTAGGAAGGTCTTTCATGTATCTTTCATGTGTCTGTAACAGGTTATAGAAGATACACACACAGATACTTAGTGCTAAAGATTACTAGAGATTAAAGTGTTATCAGAAAGAAAAAAAACAAAATAAACACAATCATTTGTTTTTGTTTCTACATACTAAGTACTAGGAAGTCTCCCAGAATGCAGAGCAAGCTGCTGCTCTGCAGACATCTCAGACTTCTTGTGCCATGAGCCAGATTTTAACTTGGTGTCAAGTTTCCACCTAATGCATTTCCAGGACTTACTCTAGATAAGAATTTGGCCATAGCCATAGCTAACTAGCTGCAAAGCTAAGCCTGTAGGTGAAGTGCATGAGGAGATGTGTTTACATTGAGAAGCCTCTCTTCTACTACTTCTGTGAAGTTTCATAATTGATTTCAGTTTCATGTATTCCTTGTATGACCTGATTTCAGCTACCTGTAGGGGAAGACTGTAATACTACAGCAGCATTTAAAAATATATCACTTAGTTGTTGATGTCTAAAAAGAGAATTTTTGTCATGGTGCCTAACTCTGCAGGACCAAGAGACCCTTGGTAACTGCTGGTAGTAGATAATGTTTCAGTTATTGCTAGTCAGTCCTGTTAGTAGTAGCAAAACACCACCCACACAAGAGGTTGATTTTCAAGTTTGCTTTAAAGTATCCAGCGCATGGAGAAGTGTCACTCACTATGCAAGTCCTTGGGAAACTCGGAAAGAAGCCCTTTGTGGTGTAGAGCCCTCTGAAGGGAGAGGAATCTTAAGGAATAGGGTCCAAATTTTTGCAATTAGACATGTTTTTTCTTTGTGTCAGCCCAACTTTAATTTAGACTGTGTTAATTAAATAAATGTGCTAGCAGAAACAGCAGCGGTGTTTTAGTCACAACACACGCCCCTTTTCTCTTTGCATCCTTCATGGCCCTAATGTGAAAGCAGCCTCTTACATGAGGCACGGCACTTCCTATAGCCCTTAAAATAAAACTGGTGCTTGCTGTTCTTTTCTTTACCTGCCCTTCTCTTTGTGCCTTTGTTGGTACAAGTTCAACATGCTGGAAATGCTGCTGCAGTGTTGATTAGCACAGAAAATATACTATCTTGGATTTATTAGAGAACTGTCTTTTTTGTCTTGCTTTGTCGTTTTTTCTTTCTGCATTCATTTCTAATGGTGACATATTCTGGATATGAATTGACTAAGGGACCACTCCAGGCCCTGTATTCCACTCTGATGCATCTCAACTATGTTCATTTTTTGTTTGAAATTACAGTGTGTGTCATGAGGTTACATTGTATTTCTTTACTCACTTGAAACTGTAGCTCTTTGAGTTGCAGCCTTGCGCTGAAGTCAGGGGGAGTGATTCCACCACTTATTTTATTAACCTGCCGGCATTTGTGGATGTCAAAGGGTTTTGCAGAGCAAAAATGATGCACAGTGATGGCACCAGGTTTTTTCCATTTAGTGAAGGTGACCAGGGTTAGCAAAATAAAGCTCATCGCACATCTCTGCTTGACATGCTGCTTTTCCCACCTGGAGAGTGGTGGCCCCGAAGAGAATGGGAGGTGATAACCCTGCCCGGGGCACAAAGCCCGTGTGGCTGGAGGGACGGTCAGCTGCCGAGGAGGATGTCACTTTGGGGGAAGAATAGCGAGACCATGTGCCTTGCTAGCTCCAGCTGAGTCCCTGGCAGCCCCCACCCTGCCTGGAGGGATGAGCTGTGTGATGCACTGGGCAATAGTTTGCCTCGGTGGCCGTCAAGAAATGCTATCGATGTTGCCATTGATGAGTGCTCCAACAGCTTCATCCGCGCCCGTCAAGGATATGTGTCGAAACAATACGTGGCTAATGCTTGAATGAGGCAGAAAAGCTGCCAGATGCTGCTCTCAGACCCTGCAAAGTTAAACCAGCCCTGAAGTCAACAGGTGTTCACGGTCCTATGACTTTTCAGTTCACATATTGATTTGTGCACAAGCTTCGGACCATGTTGGATTGCTGCATGACTTGTAAAGTAGTCTGATTTGAGAGCTAAATAATAACATCAGGGGCCCAGGGACTTTGGGTTCATTAACATATTTTGCAAGAGGCAAAAATAATGGTTGTTGCTTTCTTCCCAATCAAAGCCTTTCAGAACATATTTATCCCTGCTGCAGTTCTGCTGTGAAGTGCTATGGGGGATGTGTGCATTCCTTAGCAGCAGCAGCAGCAGCATC